GCATCAGACTGTGTTTCCAATGCCCCTGCTCCCCTGCCGGCGCTTGAGCGTTGGCAGAAGACAATTGGATTCTAGAGCAGAGTCTTTTGATACCCTTTGCTCGAGAAGATTCAAGGGCCGTCCTCAGGGTCTACAGCCAGTTGGGTGGGCAAGTAGTGGCTGTATTGCCTCCCTTTTCAAGAACATTTGTAAGAACTGACAAAACCCGCAATATCCATTTTATTCTGTCCCGCAGTTTTAGAACAGGTCAAAGTATACTTAATGAAAATGGGGTTTAGAGTTGTTGGCACTAATGGGATGGCACTTGGCATGCTTGTTTTTATGAAAGACTAGTCAAGCAACTCAACTGAAGACATTAATGTGGTCTGTAGGGTAAAAGGTTATTGCTGCACAAACTTTACGTAAGTTAGACCTATAAACGGTTTAGTAGCAGAGTGAAAGACCATCTGTCAACAATCCACGCTGAGTGTACTGAATACCTCGGCACTGCATCCGATGCCATCTATGAAGGACATAGCGTCAGCGAGGCAGGTACTCTCGTAACTGACAGAAACAGCACCAAGTTAGAGCATTAATCAAAGTCCCTTCATACTTTGGCACCGGAACACTAAACGTGCAAAGAATAGTATTCATCATTTGGCTCAAGTCAAAACTGGGTTAAACAAAAATGTAAATTTCTGAGTAAGTATAGCTCTTACTCAACATTTTATTATTAAAACGTTGTTACTGTGCCAGAAGTTTAAGTTTTTGATTGATGAGTCCTGATGGCATTGATGACGAAACGGGTCGCCTGTCAGTGAAGCTTTCCCATATTTGCTTTACGTTTGGATTTCCTAGCCAGGCATCAAGAAAAAATCCGTTTAGGCAAAAATTGTTCCGCATTTAACCACCGTGCTGTATAAGTTGTTTTAGTATGGTCGGTTAACGAGCCTTTTCCGAACATATAATCGATACTCTTAATACTGCCTTGACGTAGGGGCAACGTAATGACATGGTATAAGTATGCATAATCAATTTCAAAGAAAGCATGAGGGTCTGCATCGTACAGAACGACGAATTCTGTCATTCACCAATGAGGCACAACATGGACGGAGTAGGTATAGGGATAGAATGTTGATAAAGCATGCAGCTGAAGATTTAATCTACACTTGAGTATAGTTAGATTTTCAGCCGTTCTGTAGGATTTGTCCCAGTTTAGTTGGCAATCGTTAGGTTAGATACTGCAGACCAACTTCAGAGTTTGAACTACCGGGAGTGAACTGCTTTGATCTGATTTATTCAAATTGCTACCTCCTCTCTGAAGTAGGGTTAATGCAAATATATTAAGTAAAATAGTGAACTTCGAATTATGTTCTTTTAATATTGAATGGACGATAGTGTCACTTTGATTGTAACCCGATTTGTTACTTGAAATGCTGTCGAAGTACGTTTCACTCTGGCTGCATATTAACCTTATTGCAAATGATGTCTCATAACGTAATCATGAGCGGAGCATGTTTAGGTTATGGAAATTTGGTGCCGGTCACTGTCGAAGGCAGGATCTTTTGCATTGGCTTCGGTCTGCTTGGCATTCCACTGATCTTGATCGCCGTCACCGACCTGGGAAAGTTCCTTGGCGAGAACATCATCGACCTCTACTGCAAGTACCTGCAGTTCGTGAAGCGGTACAACTGCAAGTGCTGCCGTGTCGGAGGGAGGTCGGCGGCGGACAAGGGCGGCGACGGCGAGAGGTTCCTCGTGTCGGAACCGACCGACGATCAGAGCCAGAGTCTGCTTCTGCAAGAATTACAGAAACTAGGACTCGAGGGCTACGTCGACATCCCGGCCTCGCTGGTTTTCGCGATTTTGCTCAGCTACATAGCCCTAGGAGCGCTACTGTTGAGATGGATCGAGAGGTGGTCGTTCTTCGACGCCTTCTACTTCTCGTTCATCACCATGACCACGGTCGGCTTCG